ATTTGCTTAGGGCAGTAGTTGTCAACATTTTTTGCCTATGAATCCCTTTCACCATTACTAAACGATCATTCCCCTTCTCATTTCTAAAACTCGAAATATACTAAGCATTTATTTAAATTTAGATTAATTTTAAATTTATTTTATAAGTACACAATAAAAGTAGAGAACATGTTGATAATTACCAAATTCTGAATAAAACTAGTTTTTTTTTTTTTTTTTTGTATTCATAAACTAAGCCTAAATACTTTACAGATAAATAAAAGGCTGACCGCATTCCCCCCCCTCCTCGGAAACTATGAAATTCCTCCTAGTTTTACCCTGGTTGAGAACCTCTGGCCTAGTGGCTTGTATAGATAATTATAAAAATTGTTCTCATTATAGTGCGGCAATTCGTAGACAGTTGCGCGCTTATCTTGCAAGATTCTGTTCTTCACTGCAGTCTTCTAGTCTGGCGGCAGTAGAATATAATATGGGAGTTTTAAAGCTCGTGAACAGGTACTACAAATGTTTAAATGAAGGTGGTGATTATGTAGCGATGAGAAAGAAACTTCAGGTATGTAGCAGAATTGTTTTTTCTTTTTTTTTTTTTTCCAATAAATGTTGTGTTTTTCATTTTGTATAAAAAACCCGAACTTATTTTCTGGATGACCCTCATTTATGTATTATTTTTATACGCGTAACGCAGTGTGACCGTTAAAATGTTGCCACGCCTACAAAATGAGATATGTGAACTCTGTCAAAAACATAGATCCTGACATTTTTATAAATTCAATTCGCAAACCAATTCAAGAAGCAATCGAATATTACCTCGAAATATGAAAGCTGGGGACAATACTGACTAATTTTCTGATTCCTGATTGCAATGAATCGTTCAAATGAATAACAATTTCTGACCATTTATTTTTATTCAAGACTTTTATATATTTTTGTATTTTGTTCATATTAACAAATTTAAAAGAAGAGTACTCTTTAATTTTATAAAATACACACCAATGCAGTGCTTATGAGTATGTGTAAAACTAAATTATTTGTATATGTTATATATACAGATGCTCAAATTTATTTGATGTTAAATAAAAGCTCATTATCGAAAGTATCCAAAAAAAAAAAAAAAAAAAAAAGAAAAAAAAAAAAGAAAAAAAAGAAAAAAAAAAACCTCCTTTCAGTCAGAATCGACTTACGACGTGACTGCTGGAACAGCAACTGTCATAAGTCGAAAACCACAGTAATATCCTGCTTAAAGCGGGGGGGGGCGTTCCACCCCCGCTTTAAGTTCTTACACTAAACAAAATTTTAAACAATTTCGTCCAATCAGATTAAAAACGTTTTCACTATAAATATCGCAGCCCATTTTTCCTAACTGTGTACCCCTTGTACAAGCCTCCCTTCCTGAATTTACAAAATCACCACTTGTTAAATCTTCTGAATAATTCCTACCTCACTTCATTAGGTGGGGATTTAAACGCAAAGCACAGCAGCTGGGGCTGTCGTAAAACTAGCAAAAATGGAGAAATTCTGCATAATTTCAATCAGTAATTCAATAACCCGTTTTATTTGTACACGCCTGAAGAATACACTTTCCATCCTGAAAATATCAGACAGTATCCTAACATTCTTGACCTATTTCTGACGTCTTCAAATCTTCCTGTTGTCATGGAAGTTATTAACGACTTATCCAAAGACCACATACCGGTCCTGGCGTTCGTTGGTTTTTTACAAATCCGAAAATGAAGGTACTTTTAAAATTACTTACTGAGATAAATTCAAAGAATGCAATGTCCCATCACAAACCCTTTCAAGACCACAGACATCATCTATCCGCTATTAAAAATCTCACGGAGAGCATTTCTACCACTTATGAACTTTTCCACATTGGAATTTAATACTAGCAAAAATCACTTAAAGCTCCCCTCCAACATTAAAAATAAAATTCGCAAGCGGAACAGCGGAGAGCATTTCTACCACTTATAAGGCTCCCATATTGGAATTTAATACTTACAAAAATCTCTGAAAGGGCTTCTACAAGTTTAAAAATAAAATTCGCAAGCGGAACAGACTCCGAAAAAATATACATGCAGTCACGTGACCCAGCTGTTAAGACTTTGGTTAATAGCATGAACAAAGAAATTAAGAAAATGATTGACGAACATAAAATCAACATGTGGAATAACAAAACTGACGGCCTAAATACAGAGGATTGGGCTTTCTGGAAGTACATTCGTAATCAGAAAACTAATAGGACCCGTAACACGCCAATTAAACACAGCACCGGACACTTATACAGGGACGAAGAGAAAGCAAATGCCTTCGCAGACCAATTCACTTCAAACACTGATCCTGCTGATACAGATTTTATTAAGCATGTAAATAACAATGTTGCTAAATGCTTACTTCAACCAACTGCTAATAACCTCTCCACCTTCACTAACCCAACGGAGATTACCAATATCTTAGCTAAACTGCACAATAGGAAAGCTCAAGGCAAGGACAACATTTCTAATAAAATGCTCAAACAACCTTTCTGATAATTATATCTTTTAAGTCTGTAGCATCTTTAACGCTTGTCTCTATCTTTCCTATTTTCCGAGGGCGTGAAAGCACGCCACCATCATACTTATTCCCAAACCAGGTTTAGATCTCACTCGCGTCGAAAATTATCGACCGATTAGCCTATTCCTGCCGCTCGAAAAATTTCATGTATTAAACGCATGGATCCTGCATTGAGCTTGCTGCTCAGTCAGTAGTTTGGGTTTCGGAAAGGTCTAACCACAATGCAGTTGGTTCGAATTGTCGATTCATCAGTGCAGTTTTTCACAGGCACCAAACAACTGCGTTTCTTACGTTGGACACTGTCAAAGCCTTTGACCGCGTCTGGCACAAAGCTCTTATCTATAAATTCATACCTCTCAATCTCTTCTACGAAATCATCCTTCTCATCTACTCCTTCATCTCAAATAGGACGTTAAGTGTCAAACAGGGTAATTTCTATTCCATGAGCAGAAATATCAATGATGGCGTCCCCCAGGCTCAATTTTAAGCTCACTTTTCTATCTAATTTACGTTATGGTCTTTCCTATATTTAAAGAAACTAACAACTGTATTACCGCATGCTACTCTGACGACACCGCGATTTTTTCGTGCTCGCTCAACCCGAGTTTCGCCATTAAACGTATTCAAGATCGCATACACGGGATAGAAAATTGGTGCCGAAAATGGAAAACTTGTATTGCCTCCAAATCGTAGCTTTTACTCATTGGTCGTAATCGCAGAAAGAACGTTGGTTGAAAATGACATAATATTGTTCAGTGAAACAGTGTCTAAGGTCACCAAAGCGACCTGCCTTGGAGTGCATTTCAACTTTACACTCACATGGAATCCGTATGTTTCTGTTGCTATTGGCAAAGCAACAGGAGTGTCGTAGAAATTCAACAACATTCTGAATGCATCTTCAACACTAGACCTTGCAAGGAAAAAACGAATTCACAAGTCTATTCTCCGTCCCATTCTGAAATAGTCTATCCCTGCCTGGTGCACAGCTTCTAAAACAGACTTCGTTAAATTACAAACCTTTCGAAACAACTTCCTGCGAAAAATCACGGGAGCTGCCTGGGTTATTCGTAACGAAGATTTGGACTCGAAGGACTTAAACCTCGAGAGACATTAAAACTTTCATCAGCAGGCTCAACAGAAATTTCTTTAACAGAGCAATTAGCACAGACACTATTAATTACGCAGACAACTTCAGATATGAATTACTTGAAATCGATTTCAATATTAGACCCTACGCTACACTCCTACTAACTCGTATATAAATATTCAGTTTTCCTTCTTTCGTAATATTTACCCAGACATGGGCCTACATTATTTTTATTTTATGTGCAGTTCACCCATAAGGATTCTTATTTGCGGAATATTTACGTGTGGTTGCCCTAAACAGGGTTACCTAAGGTGCTGGTAATAGCGTGATGCAGTTCACGCTGACGCTATCACAAATGAAAGCATCAAAGTATCCTGTTTCGCTCGCTGCTTGCTGAAATATGTGTCATTTGCTGCTCCACCTTGTCCTTTATCTAAAAAGATGTTTAAAGATTCAGAAAATAGCATTTTGAATTCTTGAGAATCATTAAATAGACTTGCATAACCAAATTATCTGTATAAATATTTTTGGCTTGCTTTTCTACTGCAACAAATTAATTTTTCTATCAAAAAGATGAAAGCAGATTATACACATTTGTTTTTACAAAATTATGGAAAGTTTAAGATTGGCAGTCTACGTCTATTGAAATACTCGTATGGTCAATAAGTGCTTATTTTAATACTTAAAATTCATATTTTGTTGTAATTTAAGACAGAAAGACTTCTTTAGCTGAAACACACGTACAATCAGTAAAATACTTATTTCAATTTTCAGTCTGGTATTTTCTTGTAATTTTCAGACAATATTAAAAAATTTTTCTTTCACAGAGTTGCATAACAGTTATATTTTTCAATTACTTTTGTATTTTTTAATTTGGAGATGAGATGATCATAAAAGTACATACTTTAAAATTCTCAAATGAATAAAATATTAGCATAAAAATCAAATTAGAGCCACATTTCATCTTCTTTAAAATGTATTTTATTATTTATTTCCATGTCCTTTATGTAAATAGTTTGAGTCATAAATTATTCTTTTATCGCTGCTTAACTTAGAAATACGGGCATTTCTTAATATTTAAAATTGATTCGTGCAAGATCGCAGCCAGCATACTTAACAGTGTTTAAGCAATGTTATGGAAAGAGTTATAATACGTTACAGTTATAGTTATAATACTGCCATCAAAATTTTTTTTGCAACATATTTTTAAATTGAACATGATTTTAGTTCTTTCACAACAATAGCCACCCGTAGTTATAAAAAGATAAATAATTCAACAGTGATCAACTACGTGGCATATATTTCAAGCAATCAAAATCAACTAAATTCTTTCCGGTTAATCCTTTGTGAAACTATTTTTCAATCTATAATGAATTAATTAAATATCGATTCAGGAAGGCAATGATATGGAAAAAATTTGTTAACGAAGCTGGATGTGAATCACCGGTGCGTATATTATTAAAAGTATTTAATCAGCTGTTTTTCCTACTTTGGTTTACAAGACTGGTTCAAATGAAGATGTCCAACCAATTTCAAGCAAATAACAAACAGAGGTTTCTAACCCTTGTAAGTAATGAATTCGTCTGCCTCTTCTACACTTTCTTTATAAACATAGGAGATAGAGTTCAAAGTGTATGTTTCTTAAGAGAATTTAACTGCCATTTAAAGCAAAAGTTTAATATCTTGTAACTTTAAATCTCTTTCTCTGAATACTACAAAAGAAGATGGTTAATCCTGCCTAACAGAAGAGATTTCGGTTTAATCCTAGTACACGGTACACATGGGATTTGGCGACATTATGATGAGTAGTAAACGAGTCATTTTGGTGTTGGCGACAATTTTCAAAATGATGCCAAGACCGTACCGTATACTAGGATTTTCCCGAGATTTCTTTGTGGAACTACTCTGATATGCGCGCTCAAGTCGCCAAATTTCTCGCCAAACATTTTTGGCGAGGAACTCTACGCTGCCATATTACTATCTAAATTTTTTGTCTACATCGAACTTTAAGCCAAAAATGTCTCCAAAAACGCGGTTTTCGTGCATGCAGAAACTACGCTTTGAAAACACAATTTAAGCTAAAAATCCAAAACAAAAACAAAAAATTTAGGTTGCAAAACGTAAAGTTTCTAACCAAAAATATTTGACAAGAATCCATGTACACAGCGATATGTTTTAACTTAAAAAAACATCTACGAATGGCACAATCTACACAACGAACAAATATACGAACACCTCGCTTTAATAAATTAACATAACAACAATAAATCTCAAAGAATACCATCTACACAGCATCCTGTTTAAACTTAAAAAACCTCTACGAATTGCACAATTTAGGCAACGAACGAATCTACGAACTATGCACACCTCGCTTTAATAAATTAACATAATTACAATAAATTTCAAAGAATACCATGTACACAGCGTTCTATGTCAACTTTAAAAAACAACTACTAATTGCACAATCTAAATACTACGCACTAATCAACAAAATAATAACTAACTAATAACAATAATAACCGTGTCTTAATCAACAAAATAAACTAAAACAAATTTCAAACAATTAAAAAAAAACAATAAGTACAGAAATTCATACTAAAGAAACAATGAACATAACATTCTACAAAATAAGAACAAGAATAAAATAAAATGCACTTAATATGAATTAATGCTTTTTCGAACAGCAGAAATACCAATTTTATACCGCCACATAATCACTATCGTATTTATATAACAGCCACACACACTATCCAGAAAATTCATACTATGGTTCACAAATAATCACAAATCCCTACTATCATGCACAACCACTAAAAATAATCTCCCAGACCTTCTTTCCACACCTCCAAATACCCACTGCCCATCAACAGAACGGCCACAACGATATTTCCTTTTGCCGAACTTCAATTCAACAGCTTCCACCATTTTATCTTTCCCCCTATCTTCTCAGACACAGATACGAACCAACGAGCTCCAGCGAAAGATTTTTCAACGTCAACAGGGTTGCCATACAACACGCAATCGCGCCAAAAATCAGCGCAGAACACTTATCGCCACATTTGGTGAAATTAGGGCGTATATCAGAGTTGTACCTTCTTTGTAGTGACGTATCTAAAGGGCTCATATTTACATTAAACATGGGAAAATCAGGAAAAACCAATGCAGTCAGGTGTCTGACAGAATTCGAGCCTAAGCAAAAATCAAACTAAGATTTTAATCCTAGTATAAGATACCCATGGGATTTGGCGACTGATTTAATCCTAGTATACAGTATACATGGGATTTGGCAACATTATGATGAGCAGTAAACGAGCCATTTTGGAGTTGGCTGCAGTTTTCAAAATCGCGTCAAAATCGTACCTTATTCTAGGATTTTACCAAAACTACAGCTTAGCTGTCAAATCCACTCAGCTAATGATGAGCCTCTAATACAGCAAATAGCAAGTCATATACTACATGTCTGTGAAAACCTGCACAAAATAATTACGTTTACTATATAGCAAATGAACTGAAGTTTTTTCTTGAGTACTATGACCAATCCATAAACTTATTATATATATATTTATTTATTATAAGTTCTTAATTAAACTTTCCGTTTTTTAATCATAAATGAACCCTTTTAAAACTGATAATACCGATTGCAGCCACCATAAAATAAAATGTGAATCACCGTAGTTCTATGTAATGTAGCTGCCTAGAATAGAACTTGTTAAAAAATACTGCAGCTCATTTTATAGCTTGCATTCATGAAAACTGTTTTCGTTGAATTCTCATAAACTATACTCTTGTGAAATATTTCATATTGCGTTCATATAAAACTTTCTTTCCTTTTATCAAACGACCATCGTTTCTGAACTGTGATACGCTATTTGCTATAGTCAACCTCACAGTTGACTTGGCTGTGAGTCAACCTGTAAATGACATTAAGTTTTAATCTTGCAATCCAAGAATCGGCATTAACAGCTTACCTTTTTTTGGTACTATTCCGTTTTGAGCACCGTAAAAAAAATTGCAGCGAAATTGTATGCGCAAAAGCGCCAAATCTAGCAAACGCGTCCATTTAACACCGCGCCAAATCTAGCGTACGCGTTGGTTTCAAATTGCGTAAGTTTAGATAGTTCTATATTTCTTAAGACGCCATTGAAATACGAGTTTAATTTTTAAATCCTTTTTTTGATTTTAATTTTTTTTTTGTTTGTTTTTGATATCCTATAGATTTAACAATTTGAGAATTGTCCATGACGAAAAGTCTGGAATAGAATTTTTTCAAAGAAAAGACATCATTCATTATAGAAAATTATGTTTGAACAACCAGAGATGAAATTATGCTTCAGCAATAACTCGGTAGTGAAAAAGGAATACATTCAGTTATGTTTAGTCTTTTTTAATATAAATTATAATAATAATCTGAAATAGTTATTTACTCTTATGCTTCCATCCAGTTATGTTTAACCTTTTTTATACACTGACTACCAATAAGTATTTGGACACCTATGCAAATGACGATATCTGCGTTCCCAAGGTACGCCACGGACTCCGCCGGTATATATCGTGTAGGAAACAGCATCGGCTTTAGTCGCATGCAAGATGCCTCGCAGTTCGGAGCTCTCTGATTTAGAGAAAGGTATAATTATCGAGTATCACAAATGTGGCCGATCCTTAAGGGACATATCTAGCGATCTGAAGTACCCAATATCGACAGTGGCCTATGTGATTAAGAAGTGGAAGGTGAGCGGTGATTGTCGGAATGTGCCCCGAGTCGGCAGACCAACGAAACTGGGGGATAGAGACCGAAGAGTGTTGTTCAGAGAAATTCGGAAGAACCGCATCCAACCGATAGCCCTCATCCGCGAGGAGTTTCAACAGGCATCCGGGAGTATTGTTTCAATGAATACCATCCGTAAGGAAGCACATCTGCTTGGTTTTCATGGTCGTGCTGCTGCCCATAAGCCTTTGATCACAAAGTCCAACCGCGCTGCTCGGTTAATGTGGTACAAAGCACATCGAAATTGGACCGTAAATTAGTCGAAACGGGTTCTTTAGAGTGACGAATCAAGGTTCACCTTTACCGTTCGGATGGCAGGGTATGGGTTTGGCGTCTACCTGGAGAACGTCTCCTGCCAGAATGCATTGTGCCAACAGTCAAGTTCGGCGAAGGTGGAATTATGGAATTATGGGGGTGTTTCTCCTGGTATGGGCTGGGACCCTTGGTCCCCATTCATGGTAAGCTCAACTCCGATGCCTACTGCACTATTTTGGATGACAATGTGCTTCCTACGTTGTGGCAGTTTTACGGGTTCGACCCCTGTTACATTCAGGACGACAATGCCAGTTGTCATGTTTCGACGTTAACCAAGGCTTGGTATGGTGCCAATGGAGTTCATCGAATGAACTGGCCTGCCCTGAGTCCAGACCTGAACCCTATCGAGAACCTCTGGGACGAGTTGCATCGCCAAATTCAGGGATGCACTACCTGTGCAAAATCGGTGAAGGAACTTCTATGTCTTCTCCAAGCCGAGTGGAAGAAAATACCACTAGCTGTCATACAAAGACTTGTGGAAAGTATGCCCCGGAGGGTCCACGCTGTAATTACCTCTCGTGGAGGCTCTACCAACTATTGATTTTGAATAAAGTTAGTTTTTCTTTTCTATCACAGGTGTCCAAATACTTATTGGTAGTCAGTGTATAAATTATAATAATAAAAAAGTATTACATGAAATTAACCTTTCATCTAAATTAAAACAATAATCTTAAATAGTTATTTTACTTCCTTTCTTACGTTAGGGTTGCCGAAATTATTTTTGGTAGCACTGGCATCAACAATACTTTGGCGACTTTTTACGGTTCTCAAAACGGAATAGTACCCATTTTTTTAACATTAACATTTCGTACATCTCAAAGATGATAAATTTAATTTTTATATGTCAATATCACATCACAGATGACGAAGTGCAGGCGGTTTCGTAATCAGATGAGCATTCAATAATGCAATATAGTATATTAGTCTAGTTAATTGCGGTTTCGTAATCAGATGAGCATTCAGTAATGCAGTATAGTATATTGCAGTCTAGTTAATTTATAATACATCCTATTCATCTTCATATGCTACAAGATAATTTAAAATGAATGGTTAAAAAAAAAAGAAAACATGTTGGTGACTGCTGTAATAAATGTATTTGACAAATACAGGTATATTATATGAGATCGACTCTTCAAATTTCTACCATTATTCGCAGAAGAGATTTAGCCGAAGCTAACACAATTCTAACGTAGTTGGTCCATAATCTAAACTACCCGGCGAACTACCAAAAGGCACGTAATATACGGGCGAGCGTAACAGAAGCTTAGCCCAAAGGAAAACGTTCGCTACTCAGGATTCGTAGCTCTCTCTCTGGAAGTTGAACCTTCCTTTAATACTATTTCTTACTCATTTGCATTCAACGCGATTCTAAAAACTCATTCTGGTAGGGAGTTCTAAGTTGAAACGAGGGAAGATAGGAAAGTTAAATTAAATTAAAATAATGGTTTTAAAATATACCCTACAAGGTTTTAAAAGAGTAATATTTTCATGATTTATAGATTTGCATGCTGTTAATAAAAATGCAGTTGATTGTATTTTGATATGTTTGTTTTTACATACAGGTTCTGAGTTTCTTGTTTGCAAACTATGTAGTATGGCCACTGATGCTCATTACGACCCATTTTTTCCTAAATTATCACAACCACTGGATCTTAGCGCTGCTGATGGTATATTTGGATCGCTTTTCCAACCGGTAAATTATTTTTAACGCATTAAAAAAAAATAAATAAAAAAAAAAAATAAATAAATAAATAAAATTTTAGGTGCACATTGGGAATAAATTTTTAAAATAAGCATTTTTTTAAACACCAGATTACCTAGCAGCAAATGTTTTACATATGTATTTTACAGCTACCATTAACTGCTGTGAAGAAAGATTTGTTTTGTTATTCTTTTAAAAATTAAAAACGTTTCCATACGATCTATTGAGCAGAAAGATTAAGCGAGCAATAATAAAATTACATTAAAAATTAGTTTCACAGTTTAAAATAATTAAAAAACATATTAATTGATGTACAGTTTGGATGGATTTACAATTTTCATCAGTTACGGTACAGAAAGCGAAGGCTATCTGTAAGAACAGCGGTTGTGTTGCATTATAGCGATTACAGTAAACCAGATTAACACAGAAAGTCTTCCAACCTTGAAATCAATTTTTCTCAAAAAATATGTTTGAAACATTTAAAACCATTTTTTGAGAATCGCTCCATGAGCTTCAGCATACAACCATAGACATAGGCATACGCTTTAAGACCGAAACATTGCATTAACACAACGTTGCCGGCTCTGTGAAATAATGCACTGAGGCACATGACAATATAAAGTTCTGGGAATGGGAATCTTGAGAGGAAAAATCGGAGACAAGGGAAGATATAAAAAAGGTGGGGTGACCGAAAGGTCGAAGAACCCAGAGAGAAAAATCTGACTTTCTGAAAAAACAGAAATAATTCTGGAAACAGACTGGAGTGGGCGGAATAAATTTCATGATTACATGTTAATAAAATATATCGAAATACCGGTACGTTATACAAAAAGATAGTACAAATTACAAGGTAAACATACAATAAATACAGTTAAACAAAAGGGAAAATCATACAGATGCAAAATATAATGATGCAAGTAAAATTGATGTAGATTTATGTGACAAAGTTCTGTCCACAGCCTGTGATAATATGAGCTGCGAGAGGTCTGGTGGTTCTGTTTTCTTGGAGAATCTCCGAGTTGAAGACTTGCGAATAATTGACAAAGTCATTCGTAATAGCATTATTAAAGAATTTATTGTTAGTCCTTTTTATGTAGTCCTCAATTTCTGCTATCTTTAAGTCTCTATGTAAGAGTTTATTGCGAACAAGATAGTCTCATTACTTTGCTACAAATGCTCTTCTTCAGAAAGATCTCAAAACAGAGAATATTAAAACCCATCTTCGAAGAACTAACGAATGCTTTTTCAACACAGCTATCCTTAGTGGATATGCAAATTATTCGTACATTTTCGATTGCGAAAATTAACATGGAGACAAATACACCAGATATTGTGATCTCGGTCAATGATAAGGCTGCTAATCTTATCACAGGATCAAAGGATATCACATTACTGCTTGTTTTCTCATCTCAGCAATCCAGTCAGATTTCTGGTTTATAATATTTCTACGATTGTATCTCCGATCTTCGTCTCAACGCCCCCATTCCCTTCCTCCCTGCCTCCATTTTCTCCTTAGCGAGATTACTACTCCAGGAACTACTTAAAGTCACGTGCCTTAGAGCCAGAAGCGTAGCTATGATTTTCAGCACCCGGGGATAACTGAAGATTTTGCGCCACTTTTTGTGTGCCAAGAATGGAAAACATTGCATTCTAAAATTTTGTGACATCAATTTGGCGGCCCCTGGATGCTGCGCCCGAGGACAGATGATCCCCCTTGCCCCACCATAGCTACGCCACTGCTTAGGACTCATTTGTCATGGAGCCGGCAAAATTAGATGAATGTGTAATAGCTCCGGCCACATGTGTATATGTTGAAGTTCAAAAAGCAACTTATGGTCCGTGAACTCTCTGACTATTTTGACCACCTATAGGCAAACTTCTTACGAAATTTTAGTATTTCCGGAAATCTCCAAAATTCCCATTCCTTCATGTATATTCAGGTCAAATTTCAGGTCATACTGACCAGTGTTTCTTTTTTTACAGCCTTTTGAAAATAACGCTAGTTATAAACACCCTGTAATGAAGATCTGAGTATTTTCAATTTCTTATTCACATTGATTTAGAAACACGTTTTTTAATAATATAATGCACTTCTAAATGAGCAAAAATATTTTAATTCTTTTGTGCATATTTGTTTTCTAATAATTTCGAACTTTTATCGCAAACGCTTTATCAGTTTTCAAATAAAATTACAATCTACATTTACTTGAACTCAACTGTATTTGGGGGAAAATATAGTTGATTCTACTTCCTCGAACAGAAAGTTATAATATTAACTGATAAATTCCTATAAACATTACAAAAACAAAGAAATCAAAATAAAGAAAAAGAAAGAAAGAATATTTTTAATCACGAAAATGAAATTTTATCTCAGGATTCGCTGCGAAAATTTTGATACATATAAAAATATATTTTTTATATTATTCGAAAGATTTTTTTTCTGTATAATGCTGTTCCAGACATTTCAGAAATAAAGTTGAGAATAATTTGATTATTGAAATTTATTCATTAGGTATTTTATTTTACATTTAATATATAACAGGCGTAATGAAAATGCCTCTTACAGATTGATTGTAAATAAATTGGAGTAATGAATAAGGCTTCATTATGTCTACATGTTGATAAATTTGTTTTAATTTTATGATACCGTGTTTTATCGATTTTTTTACTAAAATTCTGTAATAAATGTTACAATTAAAGTTTTATTCTCTAATAAATAAAATGCACTGTTTAATGTTATTTTCAATTGAAAGAAATAAATGTCATATACAAATCTAGTAAATGCACTGTGCCCACAGAGGGTTAAGACTTCTTTTTATAACCTTATTAGCTGGAGTACCCGGCTTTGCTCAGGAAGCTGATATGAGATTGTGTAGTAGTTGGAATAAAAGGATAAAGTTTAAAATATAAAGAGGTAATTTTTTTTATTGAAAACATTTCTAACTATTTACAATACTTGTTTATAAACAACATTTCATTTTGTTATCCAGGTATATATGTACAAATTTTTCGAATTTCGTACTCGAGAGCAGCTACATATAGCTAACCGTGAGAAAAGCAGTCGTTGAGGTTGATGCCGCAATGTTTTAAAGTTTGTCCTTCAGCTTTGTTAATTTTAAAACTATAGGCTAATCTGATTGAATATTGCAGTCTTTTAAATTGGATTCGCAGTTCAGTGGATATAAGTGTTATTCTGGAGATAAATACTGTATGTCCTTTGTCCTTTCCGCTCATAAGTTCTGCTTCGATGATGTTATTCGATAGCTGTTTGAAGACCATCCTTGTTCCATTACATAGTTTTGGTGAGTTGAGATTTCTGAGTAGTATCACCAGAGATCCAATTTTCAGGCAAAAGCAGTGTAGTGGCATTCCTGGTACTTGCAAAGAGTTTAAAAATTCTGTAGGGAAGTTAGCACTTTCTTCAGCTTTCCCCGTTGTGTCAATCAGTTTGTATATTCACTCTTCATCGAGAATTTTCCTTTGAATATTGAAGATTGTAAGAATTATGTTAATTTTATTAACAGTTAAATTTTAAGTTCCTTTCCTGTCAAATTCTTAACTCCAACTTATTACTTCCGGCCAGAACGTAGTTTTGGAATCTTGCTGAATATTTAATGAGGAGGAGTGGTATTTAAACCACGAACTTACTTACTGAGTCAGAGAGAATCAGAGTTTCTGATTGATGAGCGTCTGCCTTTTTGGCCACTCTCTCTCTCTCTCTCTCTCAAAGCTGTTATTTCGCTCGGCCGTACTCAGGCCCTTGCTAAGCTTCGTAGTCAAATAAGTTAAGGGGACCAACTCGTTTTGAACTCTGTTAGAATAATGATAGCTTCGGCTATACGTCTTTAGTTTAGATCTTAGTTTAGTATTATTCATTAGTCTCCTAAGTTTAAAGTTCAAGCCAAATGTGCGGGCTTTATTGTACACTCCCAAGACGAAGTTTTGTTAAATTTTAGTTAAATCTTATTGAAATAATAAAGGGTTAGTTACCCTTCTATCTTGTTGTTTCTTGTCACCGAACTCAAGTGATTATTCGCTTATCAGTTCTTAGATTCTTCACTTCCAACATTAACTTAGAATTCCGAAGTGAAGAACTCTACAAAATGATATCGTCTGCAACATGATTTTTAGTTGCCAAAATTGCCTTTTGAAATAGCCCCTCCGGATTGGTATAGTTGTGAACAATGTTTGGATAAATTTGGTCGATGAGATCGTTTTCAGTAGTGGCTATGTTGCAGAAATCACTGTTGAGGTTCAATGACGCCGGTTGTCTGGTCAGTAGGATACGTACCTTCTCCTATTTGTAAAAGTTTTAGAGCAAAATGGGCTGTTGTTTCGTCCTTCGATAGTTCAATTCTCATATCTTTTGCAAATCACAGGATTTGTATGTGTGACCAGAGATGTATTGACTTTATCTGTTGGTGTTGACTGGGGATAACTGGAAGTATTTGTCGAAAATCTGAGAGTATGAGTAGAGCTCCTCTAATCACTTCAGAGTTTCCTCGGAAGTCTTTCAATGTTCTGTCCATGGCTTCGAATGATTTTTTATGTACCATTGTGCATTCGTCCCAGAAGATAATTTTAACTCGTTTTAGAAGTTTACCCCGTCCAGATACTCTTGAGATTTTACATACCGGGAATTGTTCTTCGGCTATATTCAACGGTAGTTGCAGGGCGGAATGGGCAGTTCGTCCTCCTTTCATAAGTGTGGCGGCAATGCTGGATAATGCCAGTGATATGTTGGCGATGTGTTGTTTAGCACGTCGTTTAGCTTCTGCCAGCAAGAGATTTATTAGAAACGTTTTCTCGGTGCCGCTTGGTGTGTCCAAGTAAAGAATTCCACCAGTTTTGTTTTTGATTTGGTCCCTGATAACGTAGTAATTTTTTTATTGTCATTGAGGAGTGGTTTGTTGTCAGCAATGCGTTGAAGTAGTTCGTCGATGTTGTAGCGTAATTTCGAAGTTTATCACAGCATCTCGTCATGGTGCTGTAATCCGAAGTTGCACTAAGGTCTGACTTTTTATTGATAAACTTTTTTCATTCATCAATAAACGGTTTTTATTGCTAAATGATAAAATCATTTACTCGAATGCGTGTTTCATTGAAGATGTCGTCGTCGTATTCGATGGCTAGTTCTGGATGAGCTTGTCGGATTTGGTACAGTAGGTCATCACTTAGGTCATCTGAAGGAGTCCTATAGCTGTTTTGGATTCGATGAGTTACATGTTGTTAGAATTATGGCGAAAAGTCTCTGATTTGTTTAGCTGAGGCTGTGAGTGAGGCTTCTTGTATAGTATTAATTCTCAGTGGTTGTCGTTCACCAGTAGTCCTAAGCGTTGGCATGCTTCTCTGTACGTCTGGCATAGATAACCGTCAACAGTCTTGAGATCTTTGAAACTTGTTGGTCCCCGTATTTCTGGAAGCAGCATCCAGAGATAGAAACTTTCGGCGTTGTTCGGATGTACGAACCCCCGATCGATCTTGCTTTATATAGCCCTACCAATGGGTAGCCCGACCCATACAAAAAAGGTTTAAAACGGTCCACAATGTTCCGGAACATTATATAGCATTCGAGAGTATTCTGGAATGTTCCGCTATGATCTGGGATGTTCACGTATGTTCCAGACTATTCCTGAACATTCCGCAATATTCCAGAATGTTTTAAGATGTTCTGGAATGTTGTGGAATGCTCCCGAATGTTCTGGACTGTTCTAGAAATTTCTATAGGACGAAAATTTCAGCCTGTATATCTTCAAAAACACGCCCTTCAGGTAAAAATGGGAACCTCCTTCATGGATGGGACACAGAGGGCTACCATATTATATAACTCTCTTGATCGTACCGAGACTCGTTTCTAAGTTTTAGAGGCACGCACATTGTGCATTTACTTTTATAATATATATTGATTAGATCAAAAAATCACTCGCACAGCTTTTGTCTTGCAAAGCATTACAAACTGTTCCTTGAAGTTAATTATAATAGAATTCTTTACACTCTATTCATGTTACCTGATATATATTTACTTAAATGTAAATTGCTGCAACCGCAACATTCTTTTTTTTTTTTTTCGCGCGTGTGTGTAAATTTTTTTTTAAACTTGCAGTCAACTTGATTGCTAAAATTCAGAGAGACATTGGTTTACTCTTTTGATTCTAAATTTATCTTTATTTGATGGTATAAATGCATACACTATGGTCTGAATATTGTTAAGGTTACATAGCAGATATTTGAAATTAACAAATTTTACAGAAGAAAATATTAAATTGAAAAGTATGGTTTCTCAGATTTTAAAAGACTATGCCTGTCTAAGCAAAATTCCGGCTGAGAAGTAATAGAAATTCTCGCTTCATCAGTTGAAGAGACTGAAAATGAATGCTACACTTGCAAATGAACTAAAAATTGTTTCGTCAAATAAGGAATTTGAGGTGAAAAAAGAAACACTGAAGCCGAAATACATAATTGTAATTTTACGAGATTATAAAGGAAAAAACGTTAGCAATCTTCTTCATAAGACGTGATAGACATTCATTCATAAGACATGAAACGTTTAAATAATCGAAATGTAAGTTGCAGCGGAGTGAAAATAAAACTCAGCAATTGAAAAATTTAGTAATATTTTTATTTTAAAAGAAAAGGGATCTTTTAAGGGAAATGGCTCGTTTTCATGTCACCCATGTAAAAAAACACAGAAACTCTCATGATCTGAACCTCCGTCGAGTTAACTATGTTCAGCAGTTTTACCGCTCAGACTAAATTGGCCTTGTGCTTTTTGTAATTCGATTCAGTTAACTGCAACTGGTATGAAATAGATTACTATTATGATAATTTTTTACTGCATCTTGTCTGCGCTAGACATTCAGATGATTGCTTAAAGTAGAATAATATTTGGATCGCCCTAAAATGAGTAAAATATTAAGCATCTTTCCACAGTAAAATGTTTCCTAAAATTTCCTGTTATCTAACTTAATTTTTCAAAGATTAAAAGGTCAGTTGTATAAAATTTTTAAATACTGGCAGCCAAAATTTGTTTGCTTTCGCTTTTTATATCATCATTCATCATTTAATATTTTCGTTGAGTGATTCAATCAGCTTGGCAGCTTTCAAATTTAGAAATCTGCGTAATGAAATTTGTCAAAACTTTCTTACTACCAAATCTCATTACTCTTTTCAATTATCTGCCTATATATAGAATATTAGCAGGTAATTTTTTTACTATTATAAATCTCTAAATGAGAAGATTCAGATTTTTTTTCAAGAAACATTAAGGTAAGGCTTGGCAACTTTTTAAAAAAGATATGAAGACCTTTTAGATATATGTATAAGAAGACCTTACCAACAAAGATATGAAGACCTTTTAGTATTTTCTGGTCATACGTACTTCCCTCCAGAAAAGTCGTCAATCTAAAAAGCGAAAGACCACAGCTATTTAAAAAAAAATGAGGACACACTAAACAACATAAAGTATGAACCAATTAACAAAATTTCGGTAAACCAAATATGAAACATTCATAAAAAAACACTTACTTTTTTCCGCTGAAAATCATCAGAAAAATAGGATAATTTCGCCATTACACGCATCTTGACACTGTGTACACAATCCTTCTCTATGTACATATCAGTATGTTTTGTTCAAAAAATATCAAACAATTCCACAAATTCGGTACTGGCGCACAAAATGAAGCACAATTTCATGAAATGCAAATTTTTGCATTCTGTGCTCTTCAGAAAAACGTCATATTATAAAATTAAATAAGCTATGAGGAGATAAATATAATATTAATAATATTATATTTATCTTCTCATAGCTTATATAATTTTCATTCATTGATTATTTTTCTTTATTTGTTTTTATTTTATTCATTTATTTTTATTCATAGTTTCTGACTGCTTTACTTATGGTTCCCGTTATAATTTTTCATTTCGCTCATTGCTGTTGGCGTAAAACAGATAGATTACTATGAACATTTAAAAGATCTTCCATTTAATGCAACGAGAACCGAAGTATTATGAAATGCCTGGATTGGCCAACGTCTAAAAAGAGCTTTTACAGAAGATATTTCAGTCATTTGCTATAAATTATTATCGCATGTTGTAGTATTGTAAATTGTCACTATTTATGGAAGTCACTTCGCACATCCTTTATTTCAATGCTTAAAAACAAAGAGCTAATAATCAATACAATTTTATTTCATGCATTTGTTTACTTTTTTCTTACAATATGACTATTTGTCTGTAACCATATTTGACTCAACGAATGATTGATATGCTAGTCTTTAAAAGGAAGATTTTTGTGAAAAAGGCGTTCCTCTCTGCGTGAATGGTTGTTGTTGTAGATGAGTTTTAATCCTAAACTTTCAAATTTTTTGAAAATTCTTAAACAATGAAATAATTAGTGTTTCTATTTATTCCTACAATGAGAAAAGAATTTATAGGTTTCATAGTTCTATTCTTCGAAAGTCTCATTTTTCAATAAACTGTTTACAATTCTGAAGATACTAAAGTGGCAAGGATCAGCGTTAAAAATTTGCAGGTCTAGTTTATGGTTAAATAGAACATTATTCTTCAATCTGCAAATTTATGTAACTGATGCTGATTAATACTGCTTTGGCGTTTTCAACATTTGTTCTTCGGCGTGTTATTTTAGTTACACTTTATTTATAAATTCTCTTGATTCATAAATTTTTGCTGACTCTCAGATGCTTCTGTATTGAGGATGGCAATAAGACAAACATATCATTGTATGACTTAGAATCCATAGTATCATTTAACTGCATGCATTTAAAACTCACTATCCCTCACTATTTTTTTTTTTTTTTTTTTTTGTGATGCTACTGCTGAAAGACTGATAGATGACTGATCAAGTTGCAAGGAACAGTCACGAGCTCCTCAAGAGTATAGTATCGTATCCATGATCTGCCAATATGCGTGAGTTTATTGGAGGTTTTTCTGTTTTAGAATCTATCATTTCAGACATATACATTGCAGTGAAGTAAGGTTAGACTAGATTAGAAGAGAAACACGCTAATGTGACAATCAAAATCGTAAAAACAACCTTGTATTTAGCGTAAGTATATTGAAACACTCAATCGATTTCGAGGGCAGCTAAAGGTCCCTCCTCAACAGGAGAAAGAAATACCTAGAAAGAAAAAATAAAGGGGAAGAAGTCTCAGAAACACGTGGTCCTTATCAGCACTGCACGGGGTTATGACCGGATTTTTAATCAGAGTTACACTGGCCGCCTACTTTTACTGAGCCAGGCTATCTGATCAAACATGTAACACAAAGGACAAGAAAACAAGTTAAAAATAGGGAGCGAGGGGCAACTGCACCTTCACGCTCAAAATCTGAACTTCGAGTAATGGACCACTGAACGGATTTTTTATACCCTCTGGTAGTACCAAACGCGAGGAGGTAACGCCATCTATCAGCAAAAATAGTAACTGAATTAAGATAGTAGAATTTTAAAGGCATTAGTAAGGACAGGATTGGACTTAAAATCATTAACTAAACATGCTAAATCTTTGTGAATATGAAAAGCCTCAAGAAAATCCAATTCACCTATGGAAGAAGCCTTTTGGATAATTTTTGCAGACAGATAAGACAAAATTATGGTTAAATGTCCAACTATGATACGCTATTGAAGACTTGTTAATTTCGCCTTTTCTGACATAAGATTCAGGTATTCCGCGCACTTAAAGTTTGTTCCTCTGAATCTTTGCTTACCAATGAAATTAATCATTTGAGAGCAGTTGCGATTGACCGTGGATTTTCTCCCGTGATTATTGATAAAGCCGTTAAGAAATTTTGAGATTCCCATCAAAGAAGACAATCCACTGTTAGAAATAATATTAATGACTTTGTCGTGCTTCCATTTTATCCTTCTGTTAGCTATAAAATTGCACGGATTCTCCAGAAATTCAATTTTCAAGTCGGTTTCTCCCCTATTAGTAAAATTCACCCTTCGATTCTAAAAGATTGCGTTTCTGTCTTGAATTCTTGGGGAATTTATAGTATATCGTGTCAGTGTGGTTTAAGATATATTGGCCAAACAAAAAGAGCGTTGAAGTTTCGTATCAAGGAACATGAATCTTATATCAGAAAAGGCGAAATTAACAAGTCTTCAATAGCGTATCATAGTTGGACATTTAACTATAATTTTGACTTTGAGTCTGAAAAAATTATCCAAAAGCCTTCTTCCATAGGTGAATTGGATTTTCTTGAGGCTTTTCATATTCACAAAGATTTAGCAGGTTTAGATAATGATTTGAAGTCCAATCCTGTCCTTACTAATGCCTTTAAAATTCTACTATCTTAATTCAGTTATTTTTGCCGATAGATGGCATTACCTCCTCGCGTTTGGTACTACCAGAGGGTATAAAAAATCCGCAGTGGTCCATTACTCGAAGTTCAGATTTTGGGCGTGAAGGTGCAGTTGCCCCTCGCTCCCTATTTTTAACTTCGCTAATTTTTCTTGTCCTTTGTGTTACATGTTTGATCAGATAGCCTGGCTCAGTAAAAGTAGGCGGCCAGCGTAACTCTGATTAAAAATCCGGTCATAACCCCGTGCAGTGCTGATAAGGACCACGTGTTTCTGAGACTTCTTCCCCTTTATTTTTTCTTCTTTCTAGGTATTTCTTTCTCCTGTTGAGGAGGGACCTTTAGCTGCCCTCGAAATCGATTGAGTGTTTCAATATACTTTCGCTAAATACAATGTTGTTTTTACGATTTTGATTAAGGTTAGATTGTTTTCGATATATACCGTATAACGAAGGGGACCTTCGTTGATGGCCTGTACGCTCTTCTCAAACCTGAAAAGTGGTTTTTTCATCAATACGTTTGCTGTTCTCTTTTATAAAATGTAAAAAAATGTATGCCGCCCAACCGGTATAGTGGCTAGCGTCGCTGACTGTCGAGCCAAAGGGCCCGGTTTCGAATCCCGAAGAAGGCATAGATGTTTGTAAATGTATAATGTCTGTGTGGCATGGGGCACTCTTAATATACCACGAGCCTAAAGTCCTCTCGAGAGGTTGATGGTAGGGAAAGACGGTGGGAGACCCATGGACCCACCCACCCCCCGAAGTGCTCTCCATCAAAATTTGGGGGCGGAACTGAGCTAAGTGACACTGTCACCTATAAGCTGTTCAAGTCGGTTGCCAACGGCAGGCGTAATCTTGCGCTCCTCAGACAAGTGAGCATTAGTCAACAGCAACAACAAAAAATGTTATTCTATTAGCTGAAGACACGATGGTCATTTCTTGATATTTGACTTTTGCATACAGTGATTTCTTATATAAAATTTCCACTTTTGTAGTTATGCCGTATTGTAATTTATGCAACAATAAGTCGTGATGCTTTGTTAACAACTTCTTCTTTCGCAGGTTTGGTATTGATCAAAAGAATACCTCGCTCGAGGGACCAAAAGTATGTTATTGTTCTTACGATGAAATGCAACATGAAATCAATGACATACCTCTAACTAAATCTTCAGAACATGCACCTGAATCTACAGATGTATCAAAATCTAAAAAAAAGCCAAGAAAGAAGCTTAAAAAAACCACTATCCAGTTCCACAAACCAAAAGTCAAAAGACGATTATCAGATCCACTTTCAAGTTCCCAAGTTGATAGCCATTAAGAAGTTATTTTAAACTAATAAAAGTTATATTTTGAAATTAATCGAATGTATTTTTCTTTTTGAATCATTTTCAAGTACATTTAAAATACAAATCGTGTTATTTTTATTTTAATAAATGTTTTCAAAGTCTTATTTAATCCTCTCACCATAAAATCCCTGGTTTATATTCATTGTAGTAACTACTTTTACCTTTCAATTATACTAGCCCTAAATAAGCAATATTTCAAAATCTTATTAAAAAAGTTCAGCCTAATATTGTTGACTCAAATCAATGAACAGGACTTTTATATGTAGTTCCTTTAGACATCTCTGACTATTTTTCAACACTTTTAGAGCACATTATGTAATGAAACTTTATACCTCTCCACAATTACATGAAGCTAACAAAGTTGGTCAGACTTCTTCTATACACAAATTCTGCGATAATTCATGCGAAGCTGCAACTAGAATTCATCGCTGAAAACGATACGGCTCCAACCTAATAGACTCTTTTGCAAAAAAATCGATGCACCACGAAGGAAGTGGTTGTATCTGATGAAATTGTATATGTGTATAGCTCATACATAGATAATAAAATGATTAAAAAATCAAGGTCATAGTACCTGTTCACGGCTCATAATCGCCCATTGAGTGTTCAAATTAGTAGTTGGTCGAACAGCCTCTGGCGACAATGCATGCTTGAATTCGTCGAGGCAAGGAGTGGTAGAGGTTCCTAATGTCATCCTGCGACACATTCTGCCAAGCATTCATCAGTTGCCGCTCCAGATCTGCGATGTTTTGTGATGCCCGAATCTGGCAGCCTACCATGTTCCAGACTTGCACGATTGGTGAAAGGTCTGTTGATCTTGCTGGCCAAGGAAGATTATCAACCGCACGGAGACAGTTCAGAGATATGCGAGCGGTATGTGGCCTGGCATTATCTTGTTGGAAAATGGCTCCAGGACGTGCCATGAAGGGTAATGCAAGCGGCCGCAGGATGCTATCAACATATCGTTGACCTGTTAAAGATGTACGGAGGATGACTAAAGATGACCTGCTGTGGTAAGAAATAACCCCCCACATCATCGCACCAGGGGTTATGGCTGTATGCCTTTGTAAAACTAAGGCTGACTGCGACCGCTAGCCCCGTCTTTTCCAAACACGAACACGGTGGTCATCTGCTTCAAGAGTGGAGAGGGATTCGTTGCTGAACACTATACGATGCTAGTCTGATGGCAGCCATGATGATCGGCTGCGACACCACTCCAAACAACTCCGCCGATGTTGTGGGGTCAAAGGAAACGTCTTAAACACCTCTGTGAGCGTAACTCCGCCTCAGACAAGCGCCGTAAATGATGGACGGTGTTAAGTTTAGGATTGTGTATCCATAGATCGCCAATAGATGGCGGTAGTGTTTGTTTGTAAAAAGAAACTGTGATGTCAATTATGTATATGTATCAGTTCGTCTTTGGTGTTCGTGAATAAATGTTGTGTGGAAGAACGCTCCTCTGTTTATTACTTTAACTGCGATCCAGTCTGATTTATTAGAGATTTACACATATTTTGTTTATGGTGCCTGCAAACCGGGATTATTACGAACCAGAAAATCGACAGACTGAATATTTCGAAAATGGAGGGCGTTCTTGAAAATTTTAAAAAGAAACGATCGGTTGTTAAAACAATTAACTACGAAACTGATAACCAAAGTCGAATCTAATTTAGCAAATAATATTCCGCTAAATGAGAAAATTGAGATAATCGAGGATTTATATGAACAGTTAATTGAGAAAATCAATGAACAGAAAAGTTTAGATTCAGAAATAGAAACGAAAGTAACTTCGGAGGAGATTGAAAATGAAGTTACCTTAAGTCAAGAATACCAGGATAAAACTGTTATATGGAGAGGAAGAATGCAACGATTTTTGAAGAAGAATTCGGAATCTTCTAGAACAGTTCATCAGAACGAAACGGCTAATGTTGCACTTCCAGTTGAAACGAAAGCAGTGAAGTTGCCACGTCTGCAAATCGGAACTTATTACGGAGATTCGTGTAAATGGTTAGAGTTTTGGAACCAATTCGAAAATACAATCATAATCATAGTGCATTGAGAAAAACTGAAAAATTTGCGTACCTAAAATCCTTACTTGGAGGTAATGCTTTAGCTGCCATTTCCGGTTTCGCTTTAAGTGACCAGAATTATGATTCCGCAGTAGAAATATTGAAAGAACGTTTTGGAAAGACAAGATGTTGTTTTATCACTTCGCATATGAATAAATTATTATCCCTTGAACCAGTGGGAAGCATTTCAAATGTTAAAGCACTGCGTAAGCTGTAAGATGAATGCGAAGTCAACATTCGAAGTTTAGAATCGTTAAACGTTACTTCTGGAAGTTATGGAAATATTCTCTGTCCTATCATTTTGCAGAAATTTCCAGAGGAATTAAATTTGGAATTTATTCGAAGTCGAAATATGGAAGCAGGATTTGATATAAAGGAACTTATCGAATTCTTAAAAAAGGAAGTTAACTGTCGAGAAGCTGCAAGTTTAATGAACTCTGCGAAAACGAATCAGAAACCATACTTTCGTCAAAATGAACAACGCACGAAAGATTATCCGAATTATAAACCGAAAGTTCCGACTGCTTCAGCTTTATCAACAATTCGATACAAATATATATTTTGTGACAAAGAAGGTCATACGAAATATAAATGTACTGAGGTGAACGCTGATGAGAAACGCAACATTTTAAAACGTACAGGAAAATGTTTTCTGTGTTTTGGATGTAAACATTTAGCTATCAACTGTAAGAACAAACAGTTTTCCTGCAAAAAGTGCCGCGGTAAACATCATGAAAGTGTATGTGTGCATCCCGCATCAGATGTCTCCAGCGCAAAAAATAAGGAAACCGAAACATCGGCGGAAATTGTTCAAAATTCTTCTGCCAAAAACTGGATCTAATATTATGCTTCAAACGGTGTATGCTGTGGCTGAGGCAGAAAGAAATAAGAATTGTATTGTGAGATGTCTTCTTGACGGCGGTAGCCAAATGTCTGAAATTCGAGAAGATTTATCAAGAAAATTACAGTTACCAGTGAAAGGAGAAACTGTTTTAAATCTGCATACCTTCGGTGAAAAGAACGGGAAACATTGGCGGCGAAAGAAAGTTGAACTTACGCTCCGGAATATTAATGACCCTGAAAAATCCATAAATCTCGAAGTCATTGAAGTACCAGTCATAACAAATGCCGATATACGAGTACCAGATGTAGAAATTAAATCCAAACTCCAAGCATTCGGCATCACTTTGACAGACTGCGGCGGCGCCGATGTAATGAATCATATTTCCGTTTTAATCGGCGCCGACATTATGTGGAAAATAGCAAGCGAAGAAATAAAAAGGATAAACAGAAATGCCGTAGCGATGAAAACCTTGTTTGGGTGGTGTATACAAGGCAGATTTTCTTCATCAGACTTTGAAATCCATGATGCGTGTTTAAACGTAAGTGTAGAAGAGAAACTTCTAAAAAGCGTCGAATCATTTTGGGATATTGAATCTATAGGAATTAAAAATATTTCTGACGAAGAACAAAATGAAATGGCCATGCAAATATTTAACAACTCGATTACACAAAAGGGTAATAGATACGAAGTTAGACTTCCATGGAAAGATCAGAATGTGACTTTAAGAGACAATTTTAAGAATGCTGAAAGACGGTTCTTAAATCTGATCGAACAATTTAAATCAAACTTAAACTTTTATGCGCAATATAAAGAAGTGATTGACTATCAGCTTAAGGAAGAAATCATAGAAAAGGTCGATCTTGGTACTCCATCTGGGAGACGAACTTACTACATACCTCACCGTGCTGTCATCCGTGAAGATCATAATTCTACGAAACTTCGCATTGTTTATGATGCTTCTTCAAAGGAAAAAAATCATGAATCTCTAAATGATAATTTACTACAAGGACCAAATCTTCTTCCTGAACTTTTGAAAGTTTTAATAAATTTTCGACTTCATCGAATTGCATTTACGTCAGATATTGAGAAAGCGTTTTTGCAAATTTCTGTTGGCACCTGAAGATCGGGATTCAATGCGATTTTTTTGTGGATTGATGAGAATTCAAGTTTGAGCAATCCGAGAATTCAAGTTTATCGGATGTGTCGTGTAATGTTTGGAGCAAAATCAAGTCCATTTTTGCTGAGCGCTTGCATTAAGCATCATATAAAGAAATTTGAAGACATCCATCCCAGAACTGTAGAAATGTTAGAAAACTTCATGTATGTTGACGATTTTATTTGTGGATCAGATACGGAGGAGGAAGCTATACAGATATATCATGAAGCCAATGATATAATGAAAAAGGCATCAATGACTTTGACCAAATGGAATTCTAATTCGGATACTGTAAAAAACCAGTATAAATCAAGTGACAACTTCGTTAGCTTTAAATTGCCTGACTGTGATTCCCCCTCAAAGATTCTTGGACTTCAATGGGATACAATTAAGGATATCTTCTGTTTTAATGCACAAGACGTTATTGATTTCATCCAGTCAAATGACCAAACAAAACGTTGTGTTTTAAAAGCTGCTTCAAAAATCTTCGATCCTGTTGGGTTTCTTGCTCCATATGTTATTCAAGCAAAAGTTTCTGTTTCAGGATTTATGGCTGAAAGGTGTTGATTGGGATGAAATTATCCCACCAGAATTGCAAGACAAGTGGAACAAATGGTATAGGCAACTATGTGATCTACCTAATATCCAGATACCTCGGTGGTATTTTCGTGATGTTGATGAAACGCCTGAAACACTGGAACTACATTTGTTTTGTGATTCATCTCAAAGTGCTTACGGAGCAGCAGTGTACGTGAAATTCCGTAGCTTAAAATATTGTGGAACAAGTTTAGTGATAGCCAAGAGCAGAGTGGCTCCCCTGAAAAAATTATCTTTACCAAGACTCGAGCTCATGGCAGCAGTGTTAGGTGCAAGACTTGTAACTACAGTCCGTGTGCATTTTCCTCAAGCTAAGATTCATTTATGGACAGATTCTCTTATTGTGC